TATATATATATATATATATATATTTGATTGACAGAACAGGAAAACGACAAGGAATTTTGGAATGACAGTTTTTTTCCCTCTATAAAATCGTTGATTTCTTGAATCTAAGAGCATCTTTAATAGATTATTCAAAATAGAGAGAATCAATATTTTGGGAAAACTTTTGCTTCAAAAGATTCTTTAAAACAGAGAAAAATAAAAAGAGTATAAAATCTTCTGAATTTGGATAACTTCTTAAAAACAATTACCATGTGAGGGAAATAATTAGCTATTATATTCCCACAATAAAAAAATTTCATGTTAAATGTTTATTAAATATAAATAATATTTTATTAATATTGTAATTTACAAAATAAATACTCAAACCTGAATTATGTTTATAAAATCATTATTTAAGTTGTTATTTTTTGTTTGTTCGTATAAAACCACTTGACTTAAGGATGGTGATTTATCCCAACCTAATGGGGAACCCGGCTCATCCGACCCAAACGAGGATAGAGGTTCCCTACTAAAACGGGTCCCAGGACCGGGGATCCTCGGTAGACTCAAATTGGGGTTGGGGTCAGAGCGGGGGTATTGTATCCCTCGACTCGTCCCGTACCCAGTATATAATTTTATCAATATATGTATTTATGCATATTATTTATTTATTTTCTAAAATTAGGTTTTGACCAGGGACGGGGATCGGGGTTTGACCAGAAAATAAACCGGGGCGAGATGTTAATCCCCGTATCCGGCGGGGACCGGGGCCAGGAGCTGTTACTAAAAAAAAGGGGATTGCAAAACCCGTCTCATCCCCGCCTCGTTGCCATGCCTAAAGCCACTTGGTGTATAGTTCACCAACAAAGAGTTTTATAATATAGACAACACCACCCTTCTTACTATCATTTTCCGAGACTCCGATAGCACAGCCGAGATAGTGATAGGTTCTCTGCTCCTACAGGGATGGAGGGACAAAAGTTTGATAATTCAAGAGAAGGTCACAACGAGACAAAGCTGTTTATCATTACAATAGGTGTCAAGTGAAAATGCAATGATATATACAGTCGAGACTCGAGACATCCTAATAGACCAGTAAACTTGAATCTTGTTCCTACATGACCGATCATCCTAATAGACCGATAGACTTGAACTTTGTTCCTTCATGACCGATCAATTCGGTCTGGCACTAGCCACTATTTTCATTGTTTAAAACTTTACCACAAAACCAGAAGTTTTTGTTCTCTCTTCTGTTGAAGTTGAATGTAATTTTTTTTTAAATTACGAGTTTTAATTATATTTTGATTTTTTTTTTGAAGAATCTGTTCGAGTTCAAGATGTATAAAAAGAGACCATTTAAAGTGTGGGCCTTTTTCAAATTTAAAAGAGCTGGAAGCCCATGGGCCTATTTGCAGATGCAAGCCCATTAAGATTTTAGAAGGGTAATCGAATTCGAACCCAACGGCCTAATTAAGAATTAAAAGGGTAAAGTTGCCGTAGAACGCCGCTGTAAGGAAAACGATACCCTCACGAAGATGCTGAGGTTTGGTGTTCCGACGACGACGACCACCACCACCACCAACGGCACCTCCTCAACCGCTGTAATCGCCAGTGCCTCTCCGACGACATATTCTCACATTTCTTTTACTGTTTCTCCGTTGTCTGATTCTCAGAGAAGTAGCTTTTGTTGCTTTCAGCAGGTCTTTTTTCATAAAACGCTAACTCTTTTCATTTAATTGGTTAGGTTTCATGGTTTATTATATGTAACTGAAAAACTGTTTTGATGGATTTAGATTTTAAGTTATCCATCGCGCTTGAATTGTTATCGAAACAAGGCAATGGCAGAAGCTGCAGAATCCATGGCTGGCTCTATCGCTTCTCCGTCTGGTACTGATACCTAAATTTACTTTGATTAGTGCATGTGCATGCAATGGAATTAGGTTTAGTAACATCTATTTGAAAGGTGAACTGTTAAACTTTAGCAAGACTGATTCGTTCTCCTAAATAGTGATGGATTGCTTTATAACTTCATATAAATCATTCAGCTGAAAAAAGCAAGGTAACAGCGGAAAACAAAAAAATAGTATTTTTTTAATTGGCAATGGGAATAGGACTCGGAGACATGGCTTTTAAGGCACATAGGGGAGGGCCAACACGTCATGAACACTGAATTTGATTAAATTGGACTTGAATTTCAGTAGTGTACTAGTTTTTTTATAATTGGCAATGATACGCTCCCAGTGAATGCAACTTAGTCAATGAAATAGCATCCTTTATTTTGACATTGGGGTAGGGAAAGGAATGTCAATTTGCAAGTGAACTTGCAATGCAACAGTTCTTCAAGCTTTCCTCATTGGCTTATGGACTTTGAGAATCCGTGGGAACCATCTAGAGAATTAAGGGTTACTACTTTAATTAGTTTACTTACGTCAAGTCTACTCTTTTTCAGGAAGCAAGCAGGCATTAATTTCATTGTCAGACAAGAAGGATCTGGATATTCTTGGCACCGGACTTCAAGAATTGGGGTGAAATACTACTCATATTTGTTACAATTTATTATTATTATTATTATTAGGGAAAAGTCCATAAAACCCCCGCGAACTATTCCATTTTGAATGATTAAGTCCTAGAATTGTTTTTTTGAATGAAAAAACCATTAAACTTTCTCATTTTGAATGATCAAGTCCCTGAACTATTTTTTTGAAAGGAAAAACCATTAAACTTTCTCATTTTGAATGATCAAGTCCCTAAACATTTTTTTTGAATAAATAAAACCATTGAACTTCTAAAAATTGGTTACCTACATCTTTAAAAAAAGTTATCTGTAACTAACTAGGAGGGTTTTAAAGTAAAAACAAACGTAAATCAATTTACCGTTCCCAAACGATACGCCATTAAAACCACTCATAACAACGGTGTAGCCCCCCCTCGCACTCCCGTTGCCCCAACGTGTCCGTTCTTGACGCGGGTTTGCCGGAAGGGTCGGCATGCGTCTAAACCCTTTAAGGATCTAGAATTACGTTAGTAAAACTCAAAAAACTCACAACTCTCATGGATAAGGAAGCACCAAACGGGTCGTGGGTTGGTGTATGTATGCATGGGATTATGGGCGCATAAGGATTCATGGTTTTTTCATCCAAAAAAATAGTTCAGGGACTTGATCATTTAAAATGAGAAAGTTTAATGGTTTTTCATTCAAAAAAATAGTTCAGGACTTGATCATTCAAAAAGGGGATAGTTTGTTGGGTATTTTTGAACTTTTCTCTTATTATTATTATTATTATTATTATTATTATTATTATTATTATCTTTTATACATCTCTGCAGGCCTTTTTACTTGTGACTTGTGATATTTGAAATTGGTTTGGTACTTGTGGGCATGATAATTTTGGATATGTTTTGCATTTAAACTGTAGCTGTCAAAAGGTTGATGTATGTTTGTTCACATAATCATGTGTCCGTATTAAGCTAAACTTTACATACTAACAATTGTTGACTCAATTTCCATAAAGTCACCATCTTTTTGTAGTTCACAGTTGTGAAGTCTGACTTGACTTGAACATGCAGATATACAATTGTGTCAACTGGAGGAACAGCATCCGCTCTGGAGAAAGCTGGAGTTTCTGTAACGAAAGTAGAAGAGCTTACTCAGTTCCCTGAAATGGTAACCATTCACTAAAGCATCAGAAATACATCTTTCATCCATGTATTTGGGTGTTTTAAATTTTAATGGAGATCACCTTTACCCTCTTTTGCAGCTTGATGGTCGTGTAAAAACTTTACATCCTAATATACATGGAGGTATTCTTGCCAGAAGAGACCAAAGGCATCACCTGGAAGCTCTAGACAAGCACAACATCAGTAAGTTACATAATTGATGTTCCTTGAGGAATTATCCAAAAGTGTGGTGGATCTATATTAAACCGGCTTCTAAATCTTGCTCCTCCTCACTGAAACGATCTGTCCATTGGCAAGTGATTTTCTTTCTATATTTGCTTTTGGAAGCTATTTAGAATCTCTTATATTGTAGGTACATTTGAGGTGGTAGTGGTAAATTTATATCCCTTCTATGCAAAGGTTACTTCTTCCAATGGGATTACATTTGATGATGGAATTGAGAACATCGATATCGGTGGCCCTACAATGATAAGAGCTGCAGCAAAGGTTGTTATTCCAACTCAAATGACCATTATCTGTATTTGTGAGTCTGAATGATGATTGTAAGACAAAGTATCGCTAGTGAGATTAATAAAGAAATGATATGATATCAACAATGTTGATTTAGTAATAAATGATTTTCTTCAACAATATTTTTTTTGGTAACCCCACCTTAAAGTCTGTAGGACATGAGTCCAATATTTACAGTTATTACTGTTCTGCCTAGAAGTGTGCCAATTAATACATAACCTCATTAATTTGTGGAGTTGGTGGTCATATTGTTGTATATGTCCAATTCTTTTGGGATGAGCTTGTTTTCCTAGTTGTTCATATTGCCAGAATAGATGTTTGAGTTCACCCATACACCTTTTTCAACTCCAGCTGGTGGCTTAGAGCACATCATAGAATCACATTACTTTCTGAATCTTGATGACCCATCTTTGATGGTGTTCACTATGTAGTGGCAACATGATTGAGGATTACCTACTGTTTTTATTATGTCCACTTTTAAACCATTATCCTCTTTGAACAGAATCACAAAGATGTCTTGGTTGTGGTTGACTCGCAAGACTACCTTATGCTTCTAGAATTCCTCAAAGGGAACAAGGATGACCAACAATTTAGAAGGATGCTCGCCTGGAAAGCTTTCCAACACGTTGCTTCTTATGATTCTGCTGTTTCTGAGTGGTTGTGGAAGCAGACTAAAGGAGGTACTCTTTTATTTGATTATTTAGTTTGCCATTTGTTTGATTTAGTTGATATTTTAAATTAAAGCCTTTATTAGCAGAAGGTCATGTGTCTATGCAATGTATCTAAATTCAATGTGTATTAATAACATATTATGATACAAAAGCCATAGATTCAGAATGTCCCTTTCTGGTGTCTTCTTGTGTTAAAGATAGAGATGCAAAACTTTGGAAGGTTGGAAATGTTAATATGCCAATTAACGAGTTTTATATTTTAATACAGTAATTTGACTAATCTGCCGATTACCTTTTCTGGTACAACATGAAAACTTACTGTTCTCCAATTTGTTCTGGAAGATGAATTTCCACCAAGCTTTACTGTGCCGCTTTCGCTCAAGAGTTCACTTCGTTATGGCGAAAATCCTCATCAGAAGGCTGCATTTTACGCCGACAGCAGATTGTCTGAGGTTAATGGTGGTGGTATTGCAACAGCTATTCAACACCATGGGAAGGTGAGAGAGACTACATTGTTGTTTACGTCCATTTTTATGTCCACATGCCCCATTTAAATTTCTGGGATAATTAGTACTCTCATCTACAACTTTTATCCAATGATATTTAATTTACGACTCCTGGATGGCCATATTACAGTTTGATAATAGATCTTATTGTCTCTTTTTCTTTAAAAAAACCAAGCACATGTATGCTAAACTTTTGGTGGAAATAGTTGATATGTTGAATGGTATTTTTAATAACACATCCAAGTTTTTTTGGCTGTTCATTTGTATTAAAACTTGTTATACTCATTGAAGGTTTTCCTATAAGGGTATTCCATACACAACAATTCTTGTGTACTAAAACAGTAAATTCTGCAGTGATTAATAAAATACATCAGGTAACAACTATTTCATTCTTTTGGCACAGGAAATGTCATATAACAATTATTTGGACACTGATGCAGCTTGGAACTGCGTTTGTGAGTTTGATAAGCCTACTTGTGTTGTCGTAAAGCATACAAACCCATGTGGGGTAGCTTCACGTGATGATCTGATTGAAGCGTATAGGTTAGCTGTGAAAGCAGATCCAGTGAGTGCATTTGGTGGTATAGTAGCCTTCAACAAAGAAGTCGATGAGGTTGGTTGAATTTCCCTATCCGAGAACAACTTTTATCATGCCATTTCAGCAGCTGATTTCATTAGTAGCAAGAAATGAAATATTTGGTTGCCATATAACTTGAAATAAGATTTAGGGCCTGTTTGGTAGCAGCTTAATGAGCTTAATGGGACTCACAGCTTATTTGGTCAGCTATACATGACTGTTTGGTAGTGGCTTACCGATATAGAAAGTGGCTTATTCAGTAAGCTTCTAGGAGTAAGCTTTATGCAGAAAGCCTAGTTTTTTCTAAACCTGCTCCTCCCAATCAAAGAACACGCACCTTCCATCTATTGAAAAACCCTTCCAAATAAAAACCTTCCCAATCCATATAGACATTAATCCACACACACAACTTTAACCATACAGGACTTAATGGATTACTAACCAAACAGCCCCTAATATTGACATGATCCTAAGCTTGATAGGGTGATATGTCTTCCCATAAGCTAAGTGACATTTTTACCTTTAATAGAAGAGACAATAATGAATTTATCCAATGAAAAAGACGACTGTTTTGGAAATGTGTAATTATTACATCTTTTAATTAACTAAGTGACAATTTTACCTTTAATAACAGAGATAGTAATGAATTTCTCCACCTCATATTTAATGATAGAATTGGAAGGTAGGCACTTACTTTTGAAAGACACTTATTTTGGGACAAACTAAAATAGAAATGTAGAACTTATTTTGGGATGGAGGGAGTTATTTTTTATTTTTATGATGAAAATGTGCAAGTTATTAAACTATGTCGTGCTCCCTGAGTGCTGTACATATAACTTTGTTTTAAAGGCTCTTGCTAGGGATATCCGAGAATTCAGAAGCCCAACAGATGGTGAAACTCGAATGTTCTATGAGATTGTTGTTGCTCCCAGCTACAGTGAAAAGGGTCTCGAGATCCTTCGTGGAAAGTCGAAGACGTTGAGAATTCTTGAAGCAAAGAAAAATAGCAGAGGGAAGCTTTCACTTAGACAAGTAGGTGGTGGTTGGTTAGCTCAGGATTCAGACGATCTAACACCAGAAGAAATTAAATTTGATGTAGTTTCTAAGAAGGCTCCCGAAGAGAGTGAGCTTGATGATGCAAAATTTGCATGGTTGTGTGTGAAGCACGTCAAAAGCAACGCCATTGTAATTGCAAAGGTTTGTTTTCATCACAACTGGTTTATGCGTATTTGTAATAATATTCTAACGTTGGTTCATCTTGTGGCAGAACAACTGTATGTTAGGTATGGGAAGTGGGCAACCGAATCGTTTGGAGAGTTTGAGAATAGCTATGAGGAAAGCCGGGGATGAGGTCAAAGGAGCCGCTTTGGCTAGTGATGCATTCTTCCCATTTGGTAAAATTCTAACCAATTTTGTTCTAATTCTTTCAATGTTCCGTCTTATTAAGTTCATCAAAATGCTGCTTATAATCCCTTTTTAACCAAAGGTGATATTGGAGTTCCGCGATGGCTAGATACGACCTTGTTTCCTGTATATATGTTGGAACCTCCAGTCTCTCCACAAGGGCTCTTTTAGAGAGTAATCGATGGGGTTTCACATATATCACATAATATCAAAGCCGAGGTCTTCCGCCTCTAGGGTGCGTTTCATGACGAAAACAAAAACTCTTTGTCCACTTTGGTGTGACATTTGGACCCTTATAGGACACATGCATTTTTTTGTCCACCAAAATAGGTGGAACAAAAATGAGGGAGATATGACGAAATTAACAAACTACTAAACTACCCTCATCAAATTAAAACTCAAAACATTGCACAACTCTTTCACCTGCTTAACTCACTCTGGAGCACCGTCTCCGCCTAACCTTTATTTTAGGGGGCGTGTTGGGGGTCTCATACGGCTCTTATGGAACCCCTTTTCTTCTTTCAAGGGCTCTTTCGTAGAGGTAGTATGTGATAGGGTTCCACGTTTCTTGCACAAACGATGTTACTTTGATCAACCAAAAATGATCATGAAAAGTAAAAAAAGAATGAAAGACGCTCCCTTATGGAATTTGCATCATATTTCTTTTCGGGTAACCGTGGGTTTATGGGTCAGCTTACGTGCACCGACTAATCCACGGGTGACCACGAATGGCCTGGAGTCATCACAGGTGAACCTTTATGGCCACAGGGCTTTGGCAGTGCATGGATTCGAACCCAGTGTAGAGATTTCTCACTACATTCCCGAGGCTTAACCAGTGCGCCACCACCCAAGTGGTTAATTAGCATCATATTTGTTAACCCGTTGAATGGAAGTTGCGAGTCAAAATTTACAATTTCATAATTTTGTTCAAGGTATTTCTGACATGAAAACTTTCCAATTTTCATGGAATTACATCACAAAAACTGGAAGGTAGAAATAAGAAGGATACTAAGCTTGCTCTTTGTTTTGCTGACACTGGATGATGTGTGTTGTTTTAACAGCCTGGAAAGATGCAGTGGAGGAAGCATGTGAAAGCGGGATCGGTGTTATTGCCGAGCCCGGGGGAAGCATAAGAGACGGCGATGCAATCGACTGCTGTAACAAATACAACGTTTCGCTTGTGTTCACGGGCGTGAGGCACTTCCGTCACTGAGTATAAAAAGCCAATAAATTGTGTATTTACTTATCATAAAAGCTTTTGGAAATATCTGATGTTTCAAGAGCTGTTTTAAGCTCCATGAGCTGATGTACCACTACCATAATCTGGAGTTTCTCAATCTCATGACTTTTTTTTAACTTAACAGATCCTCCATTCCAGGTTAAATTTTTTGAGTAAATTACATTTTTGGTCCCTGTGATTTAGAACTTGTGATTTTTGTCTCTATGGTTTGTAATTCATTGCTATTTTCTTTCATGTAATTTACACTTTATTGTTTCTCTGGTTCTCGTGGTTTATGGTTCGTACTGTTTTGGTCCCTCCTACTTATAGATAGAAATTAATTTTGAGACGAAAATAACAAAACAATTGCAAACCACAGGGATGAAAATTGTAATTTCTAAACCGCATAGACGAAAATTGCTACAATGACGAAAATCGTAATTTACTCCAATGTTTTATAATCATTATGTAATTTAACGAGATCTTCAATGGGTATCGTCAAACTCATAAAAATTGGTGTAAACAATAGAGTGTTCGAGATTGCTTATTTAAGCTGTTTATTAACTTATTTTGGTGTGACGCCGGTAATAAAGAGTTTTTATGGGGTGTTTGGAATTGCTTAGGGATCAAGTATAAATACATAAATATGACATGTAACATAATGATTGATAGAAATCTAAAAAGATGGAAGAACACAATCCTAAACAGTTTCGATTTCAATAACAAAACCTAATTGAAGAACTGGTTCGATTTTTGGTAGGAGGAATGGTTCGATCTTTGATTTCTCTCTGTTTGATGAATTGGTCGCTTGAGGAAGGAGGCGTATCTATTTGATGAGAGTTAAGGGTTAGAATAGGGTGAAAAAGATAAATTGGTTTCTAAACCTAATAAGTTGAATCTGATAAGTTAGAAAGGAGTAAGTTATCAAAAACTTCTTATTACCGGTTTGATATTAGTATAAACATATTTTTTTTCTCATCCAAATGCTAAAAACTACTTATTACTGGCACCACACCGGAATAAGCCAATAAGCAGTTTGACACCGGTAATAATGAGTTTTTGATAAGTTGCTCCCTTCTAACTTATGAAACAACTTATCAGGTTTGAAAACCAAATTGCTTGTTTACCCTTTTCATTAATCCTAGATAACCTATCTGTTCATCCTATTCATCCTATCTGCACGATTTCAATCTCATCGAGCTTCACGAACCTCCAATGAAGTCTCCAACTGTTGAATTCGACTCCCATTGTTTTGTCAAACAAAAAAAAAAAAAAATCTAATCCAACAAACCCATTCCCGGAAGACCTCAAAGACTCTCTCTGCCACACTCACTCATTTCCACCCACTCCACGCCCGTTTATCCACCGTCAAACAGCAAAACTCATCTTCTTTGGTCGTCTTCTTGAATCCTTGGCCCCAGAGCAAGATTCATTGATTTGAGGATCCAAATGTTCTTGAACCGACTAATATATCGTTGATTGTTCAATTGCTTTTCAACCACCATGAAGCCATCAATCACGATGGTCACGAACCATTGCTGCTGTCAGTTCAGGTGACAAAACTCATCCATAAGCTAATCCAAACACTTTTCATAAAACTCCGATTTAACACCACATAAGTTGATAAAAACCTTTATAAAAAAACATAACTCGTTTAAAATAAGCAATCCCCAAAACCCCTTAAATATTTTACAAATTGATAACACCAAAAAAAGATTCTAGGCATATTCTTTTTTATCTTCTATAATCAGTATAAGCCAATTAGGTTATACCAAATTTCATGTCACTGTTTATTACATCAAATTTGATGTCCATGTCAAAGTGATTTAACGTCAAATTTGATATTATCTTTCTTTTGAATAAAAAAGAAGAAGTTTTAAACGTGTTTTTAATAAAAAATGAAACATAACATGTAATAAAATATTGTCATATGCTTTTATGTTTTTTTAAGTATATAACATTTATATATGACAAACAAAACAAATAAACTCATACACACTATTCATCTTTGATGAGATTTGAACCCTTGACATCCTAGAAGGCCAAAGACTCACATACCACTAGGATAAAGGCCATTTGGTCACATGTTTGCATATTTATATAGTAAGTAAGATCCAAATATAAAAAAACAAATGTTATTTCCATAATACTTCTTGCATATTACATTATTGTTGTTCTAAACATTAAAAATTTATATCGAAAAACAATAATAATGCTAAATGATCATGTCTTTTTAATTAATCTTGTCGGAAACCGACACAAAAACTAGTCGAACATAAGCTAAATTGTGCATCAAGCACCATCGGGATCCTATTAAGCAATCGGGATCCTATATAGCAACCATTAAGTTATACTTATTTAAGACAGTGTGAATAGAACTAATTTTGAGCTCGAGATATTATATTAAAAAGTCATTTTCGTTGTTGGATCATCACAACAAATCACGGGATATTATATTCCATGATCTTCTTACTTTTGTTTTTTTGTCAATTTGGTTTTAGTTTCATCTTAAAATAATCCCGTCACGTTTTTATATTAATTTACTGGCGTTTATTGTGTGGTTGTTATTGGTTTGGAACGGAGAATGTAAAAGACGAAAACAAAAACAGTGGGAGAGTGTTATTTTTGTAATTAAAGAAAAACTAGTGTTTGAAACCGCATGTTGCACGGTGATCAAAACTCAATTTAAGAAAAAATGTAAAAGCCTCGACTATGTGGAAGTGCGATGTGTCTGAAAACTCAAGATCGTATTTATATTTATAACGTCCCGTCCAACTACGTAAATCACGATTTGGAGAATATTAACATCAGATGAACGCACGCCATTAAATCAAAACTTTTATTCTATGTATATATAAGTGATATAATAGATAGTTAATCTATATTTGTTATTATAAGTACTGCAGTAATCCCAATTCTTGTTAAGAAAAAAAAAATGTATCATTTGCATTAGATTTGCACAAATTTTTTATAAATTAGTTGGTTTTTTTAACCATGATTATAGATTTCAAAGCTCATGTTTTTTTTACATCCATCATCTTCTTCCAAACTATCATTTTTCTACTAATATGAGATGATGAAAGTCAACCTTATTTCAGATTTGAGGAACACTCAAACGTTATGTTGCCAAGTTATCATCTTTGGTTTCACTTTTATATTTGCACTATAATTTTTCCCTTTTGGTTAGTTTTGATTCCAACCATAGTGTTAGATTTCAAAGAGGGTCATCCAAAATAAGACAACCTTACGAGGCAAACCACATGATTTGACACAAAAGCATCCAATCCAATTTTCTTCTACACTTCATTTTTGTTCAAATCTTTTAACTCTCCATCAATATGAGACAACTAAAACTCAACCACAATTCACCATTTGAGAATACTCAATTATCATGGTACTACCTTAATACCCTAAAGTTTTCCTTTACACACACACTATATATATATATATATATATATATATATATATATATATATATATATAAGATAATGTTGAGAGATAAAATATAAAGATGAAAACAGAAAAAGGTAGGGGGTTTATTTTTTCAAACAATCTTCAACTCTAACACATAAGGGAATATTTGGTAGTTGCTGAATGGTTCGGTACAGAATGATTAAGTGGTCAGAATGATTAAGACACTTTCATCATATAGTGCATAATGAAATATAATTGTTTATAATAAAATTAGGGCGCTAAATGGTTAAAGGAGACTCACGATACAAAATTATTCAGAGTGTTTTGGAACCATCAAGATACAAACTTTTTTTTTTTGCCAAACAAGATTCACCTCTTAACGATTCATAGACTGTCTCTTATTGAAACTATTAAGAGGTAAACAAATAACAAATAAACGATCAACCAATCTACAGTCACTATTTGTCATGGGATTGGTCTAAACAAAGCCTCTGATCACCCCATTAAAAAAAGGACAAATAAACAAAATGGACAAAACTCCATTTTTGATCATATAATGCCTCTAAACATTTATAGACAGCAATTGCTTCTAACCGATGAACCGAAACACAAATTCATACCTCAGTTTTCGTTGATTCAACGTTAGACTTCATTATATGCACAGTTCCTTTTTGCTTCTCCCTTTCCTTGTTTCGTTCTATGATTTGCTTCAATCCTTCTCCTTTTCTTTCTGCTCTTTAGGAACGATAATTTGGCTGATAGAGGCTTTTGGAAACTGCATTCGAAGGTCAATCCCTCCATTCCGTTTGTACCCTTTACGTTTCAAACAAACACGACCAATTCTCAAGTTTAGGTTTAATACCAAAAAGTCCCTGAGCTTTTCTTTTGCAGATTAACACGTATATTTCTTTTGTCTTATTTTTTTTTGATTAATCGGGATATCCAACACGCTATGAGGGCCAACTAATCCCAGGGCGACCACCTGCTTTGCAGATAGCCCGGAGTCACCGCATCTGAACCTTCGTGGCCACAAGAGGATTTTTTTTATTCCTCAGATTTGAACCTGAGACTTTCTGGTACTTTTGACCTTTAGAGTCAAGCTTAAACCAATCAGGCACCACCCTTGTGGTTTTCTTTTGTCTTATTTTGTCCAGAAGTTGAGGTGTTACAAATATGGTTCATTCATCTGAGATTTGGAATGAAAAATGTGACGTTACAAGGAGTTTAAAGATGGGGTTTATCTTGTATTAACATACTTCAGTGCTTATACGTGCTTATCGATCGGTAATTATTGGGTTGTTACAAATATGGTTGATTTATCAGAGATTTAGAAAGAAAATTGTGGCCCTGTAGAGAGTTCAAAGGCGGAGCTAATCATGTATTAATACAATTCAAAGTTTATTTTGTATTTGAATGTGTTTATTTATCGATTACCAGTTAGTTTTAAAAACTTAGGGGCCGTTTACTAAATACTTACATGGGTAAGCGCTTACCAAGTCACATTATCTTACCGGATGAATATGACAAAAATCAAGAATCATACCCGGTAAGAGTGAAGACAATGATCGAGAGTCTTACCCGGTAAGTAATGATGATGACTCATACCACAGTTAGCGCTTACCGGATAAATTATTAAATATATTGTCGTTTTGATGGACTCAAATCTTACCCGGTAAGTAAACGATAGTGTTGAATTTTACCAGTAAACGCTTATCGGGTAAGAGGCTG